ATAGTTACCCTGCGAGCAGAGGCTACATTTTCACTGTGTGAGCTGGCGTGCGAAAAGTAAGCTACTTTTCGCACGACAGCTCACACAGCGAAACTGTGAGGTAAACATGGGTACATTAACCATTAAAATCTAATTCCGGCTGACAACGGTTTGTACGAATGTGTGGCAACAAACATCATTGGAACGAAGAAGGCCAGGATCAATGTGGCAGTACAACGCAGCTCAGCTGCAGGTTTGTCCTAGGCGGCAAGGCAGGGGCGGATCCAGGATTTTTCTAAGGTAGGGTTGCACCACTAAGAAATCGTGTGACAGACTGGTGACGTAAACCAGGAGCCTATTACAAGGATTTTTCAGTGCCAAACTACAATTTTTACGGCGTTTAACATAAATGCTTCAACCTCGCTTCATGCTTTACTTCAACACCAATAAGCCACATAGTCTTTATTTTTTTTTTGGCAGAATACCAATTGTATTAGAAAGTCGCAGGCCACCTGTGCGGTGCGCACTCCCTGCACCCTCCCCTAGAGGCGCCCATTTAGTGACATGTAACATAATCCTTAATGGAGACCATGGTTACAGATTGTTGAGATTGAAGGGGTTTTTAAGGAGGTTCGTATATCCAGTTCAAGACAAATATGTTAGGACATAATCACAACATCACTCAGACTTCTTTAGTTAAATTTGTATAGGACTGACAGTGATGGTCTTTCATATTCTTATAAAAAGAGTGTCATTGTTATAGGTTGACCTGTGAGTAGCAGGTTCTTAAAGGGAAAAGGAGAGAGGAGCCTTCACTAGAGTTTAAATTAGAAATACTAAGAATTTCCTTGCCAGAAAATAAAGTGGCACTTGATATCCAGTCTATTGTCAATTGGATGCCGTTACACTTGGCAAGGAAATGAACTGTTGAAGAGTTTTTAAACAGTTCTATTATATTCTTGGCCATAACACTGATCTTTTGCAAAAAAAAAAAAAGAAGTAGATTTTGCACGATTCCGTTATTGTGGGAAGCAACAATAATTACTTAACCTCGTTAAACAAATGGCAAACACCTGTGGCAAAAAGCGTTAATTCTCTCTGGAAACGCTGTTGGCGTGCATCCGTGGACGGCTGGGCTCTACCTTTCATACATGGTTAAGCAGTGGCGGACAAAGGTTCTAGGTTAATAGCTCTAGATGCGGGCCCATATCCCCTCGTTCCTCAAGGGGCGAGGACCACCCCTCCTACACTCACATGGTATGAATGAGCGCCCCCCCCCCC